GTTTGCAGGTGGGCAAGTACAGCCAGCCAACGCTGGCATGGGATCTGCAAATGCTGAGAATATCCCTGTGCCTGAAATTGGCTTAGCTCCGAAGACATCGCCTGAGCCTGCACCTGCAGCAAACTTCGGAGGTGGAGGTCTTGGTGGCGGCAGACGGATGAGACCACCCGACTTCAGGAGCATTTTACAAGGCGACGACAGACCAGCTGGTGGCACCTCTGCTAACATGGCAATGCCTTCCGTCACGCCTGCCGTTGGCACAGTGATGGGTGGAAGCGACCTCGTCAACGGCAGCCCGTTTGCGCCAACAAGTGCTGCGACGGGATCCAGACTGGGTGGTCCGATTGGTACTGCAGGCGCCGACAGCAACTTGAGTCGTCCTGGCCCAACATCTGGTTTTGACGGTGGCGGGCAGATGAGACCACCAGATTTCAGGAACATTCTGCAAGGTGATGACTTGCCGGCACCGAGCGGGCTGGGGCAGGGCTTGCCAGCCTCCAATGGTGCTTTCGCAAATGGCGGTCTTCCTGACTCACCAGGCATTGCTCATGCCAGTGCAGCAGATATACAGACAACTGCGATGGCAGAGCTCCAAGCACCGCAACTTTCTGGCGACCCGAAACCAGTGGAAAGCAGAGACCCTTTCGGATTGGAGGACCTCTCCGGCGGTTACGCCCGAAGCTGAGTTTTTTGTTCTCCGGTTTCAGCTTGTGTTAGCCCAGGGGGGTAGTTCAGTTGCATGCGTTGCTAGTGTTATTGTTATTTATGACCGGTGACAGTTCATTACTGCTGCTGTTGTCAGCGCAATTTTCCCCATTCGGGCATTTGATGCTACAGAACCAAGCCTATACACCCCAAACTTACCAGGTTCCTACTAGAAAGGGTACTAGAGCCCCAAAAGGGCCCTTTATAGTAGGTACCTGGGGGGTTAGGGCAAAACACCCTAAGCTTACCAGGTTCCCAGCGCGGCCTCTGCACCTCGGCGTCGGAGACCTCGCGCAGGCTGGGGCTTTTTGACTCTCGTCGGCCCGGCAAGGGGTTTCGGATGTGGGGTTCGGAGGCTAAGAGAACAGCCTAAATAATTACCAATCGTATTCCAGAGGCGTTCTTAATTATAACTATACCATATCGCACCCCAAGACCCTCTTCTGATTATTAAGGGCCCTACATTAAGGGGCGGTGTGTGGATGTGTATTTGTATGTGTATGTGTATGTGTATGTGTGTGTGTGTGTGTTTTGTCGGATTGGGGGTTTAGGGGTTGGTGTTTTGGTTTCGATTTTCTAGGAGGATAAGTTCCGACTGTTGGGCTGCTTATTCTGTGCGTGCAAGCGGCATGGCATAGCTATGTTGGTTTGTTCGCGCTAGCAGCTTCGGGAGGGTTGAAATCGCTTCAAGTTTTCAGTGGGTCCAAGTTTGGGGTGGCTTTGAACCTTCTAATGCTTGCTAGACGCGTATGGAGCCCTTCAGGGGGCACCCTAAACCCGTAACCCTAAATCCTGAACCCTTTCAGGGAGCCCTAAATGGTGGTTCATGAGACATCTGGGCGGCCGGCTCTGGCACGAATCTTGGCAAAGTGCGAAGAGAGGGCGGGGTGATGTGGCATGGATGAAGGTGCTATGTTCTGGCCAATGGGAGAACTTTAAACTGTTCGGCCTTGTTACATTTGGGTTAGAACTTTTCGTTGGGCCTGCTTATTGGAGAAGGGTGTACGCACCCAGATGAAGGTCCTATGTTTTGGAGGGCACCAGAAAAAGAGATTGTCCCTTATTGTAATCACACGCCATAATGTACCCCTAACCCAGTTCTAAATATAGTATTTCTATTTACGAACACACCTATTCAAGCCCCGCCATGATATCCCTTCTAGCATGTAACCCTTATACAAAGGATGCGTTGCAGGAGCCCTACTCTATGTCTCAAGCCACTCCCTGTTTCATCCTCCCCCTAAACCCTAAACCCGAAACCCTTAAACCCGCAACCGCTAAACCCGAAACCGCTAAACCCGAAACCGCTAAACCCGAAGCCGCTAAACTTTAAACCCTAAACCCTAATCGCACGGGCTCTTTGCAGGTCAACTCTGAGCACGACGGCGATTTTGTGCTGGCGACCTTGATTCGCCTGCCAAGCCCCCTTTGTTAATTTAGGGGCCCCCGTAATTACCCAGAATATTCTTTGGGGGGTTCCTTTGTACTACTATACTACAAAGTTATAAAAGGCCCCAAAACTCTATTCTAACTCTTAAGGCCCCGATTTTAGGTGCCTGGGGAAGGCGTGAAGAGCATTTTGACATGCGCGGTTGAGGATCCGGGCGTCCATCGCTGATCCTTCAACTTAGGTCAAGGGTCACCTGACCGGACCCATAATTTAGGGTTTAGGGTTTAGGGTTTCAGCTTATAAGCTGTAGAAATGATGAGCAAAGAATTCTAAATCCAAGTAATTACATAGCGCATATAGACGGAGATTGGCCAACCCCCAAATCCACCTCAACATCTACCCATGCCCCTGTCTCTATCCGACGCTATCTCAATTTACGTCTACCAACTAAATATATTTGTTTATATTTATGCTTTCAAATCGATCTTAGTATATACTCTTCTGATATAAAAATCGAATGCTGGACAACTTGCCAAGATAAAGCCAGATAGGCTGGAACAGGGAAGGTAGGTGAGTCAGACACGAAGTAAGCTTAGATAGCAATCTTTACATTTTCTGCCTTAGACATTGGGGTCTGTGATAACCCTAAACCCTAAACCCAGTTTGAACTTTTGTTAGGCCCGGTTATTGGAGAAGAGAGTAAAAGAGAGTTCAGCCTTGCAGTGGGGGTTTTCGAAACACAGCCGAAGTGTCCTTATGCAGTTTTAGTATAATGTTCCATATAATGTTCCGGTATATAGTAGTGGTACAGCAAGATAGAGCATGGCGGCAGCAGTGTGGGTGCGCTCAGTATTGAAATGGAGATTCTACTACATAGTATCGGAACAACTGAACTGCGGATGCTAGAACACATACCTCATCTTTCACAGAGTTGCCACGACGTGGATAAACGCTGCATCGCTTGTCGCAGAGAGACTATGGAGTGCGAGCTTACAACGTGACTACAAGATCCCAGAAACGGCAAGAGAAAGTGAAAGCGTATACCAGGGATTGCGACGGCGGCTGCACTTTTTCCAAGAGCTGCAGGACAGTCTGCAGCAAACAAACTCGCCCCTAAACCCTATGCCCTGAATTCTAAACCCTAAACCCTAAATGGCATACCCGAAGCCCCAAATGGAGCGATAGGGCGTGGGCCGCTTACCCTAATGGGAATCATTGGCAGAAATCGTCAGCCCAACTTCAAGGGTTTAGGGTTTTAGGGTTTAGAGTTTAGGGTTGAGAGTTTAGGGTTTTAGAGTTTAGGGTTTAGGGGTTTTAGGGTCTAGGGCCGCCTAAACCTAACTCAGCATCGGACGTGGCACGTGTTGGCATCTTGCGCACTCTCTGCGATACGGTATGGGGAACATCGATGATATAATTGATCGCGAGATCTTACAGTAGTGGCACGGAACATAGGCATGCTCATGAGTCAGTTAAGCTTCTCCACATACTGTTTCATGTACACCAATACTGCGCCACATAACATAGGCACGATTATTGCCGCCTGCAACAATCGGAGTCAAGGCAGCGGTGATGACATTTTTGCAATGATTACAGGTTTGTAACATACTCTCAAACAAGCCTAAAGCCTAGACCCTAAACCAGTGTGCTTATGTGTTGGCATACTTTGCTGCAACTCCCGAGTAGTACGAATGGCGTAATAGAGTCATACAACTCAGGTTGGAGTACAGTGTTCTCACAGCAGAGTAGGCGAACACACGTGAATACTTTCCTCAACCGGCAAATGGAGCGTGAGAATCACGTGATCTATGAATTCAGGTTTCGAACATCGCCAGAACGAGCAACATGCCTGCTGCAGGCGAGCTGTGAAGGTTTAGGTGTTACGATTGTGGAAAGTATACTTGTACTCAACATTGCATGTGGGAAGCCAGGCAACTAGCACCTGCAGTAGAGCAGCGTCTTGGATTTTTCAAGTCTGCACAGCATGTGCCCCCAAGGGGCCCTTGGAATGTTGTGCTGAATGTATGCTCCAGACGTGCAGCAGTTCGGGAACTAACTCTGGCTGGGACCCTGCTCGCACAAGAGCGTGGCCAAGGTCCAAGCGACCAAGATTTGGTTCCAAGCGTCTAGTGGTGTTGAGCTTTTGGGGATTGGGCGGTGGTCGCGAGATGATCGCAACCTAGGCCAGAGTTTGTGCTGTGTCGTACTGAACACAAACCTGCATACTCAGAAGCACGCTTTAGGGTTTAGGGTTTCGAGTCTTGAGCCTTGTTTTTTTTTGCCACTTTCTCAACACTCTGCCCATTCCACTGCATGGTCAGCCAAGGGTTGCTTGGCCTCTGCATGACCACCGGAGTGTCGCCCGAGGCGATCAAAGCAAGTCGAAGAGATAGCCTGGGGTTTAGGGTTTAGGGTTTACGTTTGTGTAGTTCTCGCCTGAGCTAGCAATCTCATGAAGAAAGAAAACGTATGAAGAAGTCATAGAGACCATTGAACGAGATTTTACAACCTGATACAACAAAAATGTAAGTACAAACAGGAAAACAACTACGGCACATACATAGGTACATACATACGTACGGTCATACATGCATACATTACCAGACGTACATGCAGACATGTATATATATATATGCACATATACATGTACATGTTCAGACACATATGCCTAAATGTATACATATGCACAATCATGTACGTATATGTACATACACGCACATATATATATATATTATATTATATATATATACACACACACATACACACACACATACACATACACATACACAGACACATACACATACTTCTACCTACGAAATGTGTATGCATCATACACATGCACATATTGCATATATATATATGTACACATGTAAAACTGAGGGGAGAGAGAGAGAGAGAGAGAGAGAGAGACTCTGCTGTATCCGGACGTCAGAACCCAGACCCTAAACCCTAAAGCAGAAGTGGCCTTGACACGCCTAGCTTAGGTCTTGGAGACGGTGGCGAGGATCCCATACTTTTCATACATCACTGCCAGGGGCCTCAGTTACGGCTTCAAGGGTTCTAAGCCTAGGGCCTGGGCTTAAGTTTTGGGTTTAAGGGTTTAGGGTTTAGGGTTTAGGGTTTAAGGGTTTAGGGTTTAGGGTTTAGGTAAGGGTTGTAGGGCTTCCAGAGAAGGGCTGAGGATTGGGGTTGGCCTTCTGCGCCGAAGCGGGGTCCCTGAACCCCAAAGCCCCTGAACCCTAAAGACCCTAAACCCGGGACCCCTGAATCCCGGAAGATAAACTCGTAACCCTAAACCCTAAACCCTAAACCCTAAAAACCTAAACCCTAAACCCTAAATCCTGAAAGCCTCAATCCGACTCAGAGGTTTTGCACCTCTACGAATCTTTGGGTGCTCGCCTCAGCGTGCTGAAACTACAGAATGAGGTGGCCGTTACAGGTTCCAGTCACAGAGCCTAATACTTAGATAGCCAATGGAAGAACTTTAAACTTTTTGGCCTTATATATTATGTCCATCCTAAAAAGTTTGAACTTTTTTGGGCCTGGTGGTTGAAGAAGAGAGAATATAGGGGCCTTCAGGACTATATAGAGTGGGGTCTTGGGGGTCATAATGCAATGTATTTTATCCTTATAACGAGGAGCCCCAAATACATAATAGGGAATGGTTCATGCGACGATCGTAATATACAGCCCGAATGCACCTTTGGCTTGACAGCTTTCTTCAGTCTGCGACATTGTAATGCAGACACTGCCATACGTGACGGGTTTAGGGTTTACAGCTGAGAAGTAGAGGGTTTAGAATGTAGGATAAAGCTCTGCCGAGAGCACCGCTGACTGACAGTTTAGGAGGGTAATGCTTCCCGGTACATGCGACGGAAATGACCGGCCAACACAAGCCACGGGCGTC